CCACCGACTGATGCTGCTTCTCACTCGTTCTACTGTTACGATGATACCCGGCGCAATCTCACTTGCTAATTTTCCCGAGAGCATATTATCGTTTCAGTTCAAATTACTCAGCTCAAATCACTCACAATGTATTCTGCTGACTTAAAGTCCTTTAATTGAATTTATTTCTGGCATCTTGGGCTAGCCGGCATCCTCCCAAACACATGACCACTCGTACCTGTGCTTTTCGATAGAAATTTTTAAGTTCCCATTTATTTTCTAAATAAGTTGATTCTGAAGTGTAACATTAGGGGTTTCAAAGTTAACGTGCGGGAATCTAATTTTGAAAGAAATAGATAACGTATTTAGTTTCAAATAAGCAATGTATCAAATTTATTTCATTTTCCGATAAAGTTGAAATAATGATTTTTGTCGTTGAAAAGCTTATTTATTCCGTTAAATGAAGGTCTCTAAACACTCCCATTTCATTTTCCGATTTTAAAATTTTGAAATGCAAATAAGATTTTTAAACTCCCATTTATTTTTAAAATGCGCTACTTTTTTTTAGCTTTGAAACTCCATATTAAATGATTGAAACAAAGTGAAAGCAGAATTTGGCTTTCAAGTTTATTAATTATTATTTGTCAAACTCAGCCCTATATTATATGTAAGTAAATTCAATGGCAATTTCTATTTTGTTCGCGGGGTGTATATACACGGGAAATATATATCTCAAAATTTTGACTATGAAACCACTTTTCGCTTCTAACAAAAAAAATTCCTTGTGAAATTTTGGTATAAACTATACCTCGCTCAATTCCTTACCCTAACCATAAACGAAGGTATATTTTTTCATTTGTAAAAATTTTTCTGATTAGTAAGTTACACGAATATGTAATTCAATAAATTATATGCCCGTGTATAAACACTGTGTAAACTAATAAAATTTTAAATGCAAATGTGTTGTCAGGGCTGAGCTTAATAAATAACAAATAGTAAACTTAAACTTGAAACTAGCGTTTCGTTGTGTTACTAGAGCTGAACCCATCATCTTCCCAGTATCGCCAACAAAATTTTAACACTCACGTAATAACTAACAAAAGTTTTTAAGGTTCGCTTATTGTAGGGTTAGATGTTAGAGGTATAAGTTGTAAAATTGCCCCAAAAAACTTTTTGTTAGGGCGGTTTCTTATGCACATTATTGATTTTTTTCAAAACGAATCTTGTTGATCGTGTTACGTTACACCAACTCACATTGGTTGATTTGTTGAGGTACTTGTAAATTCGCAAAATAAAAATTTTCTACATTAAAGCTTTCGAACTCCAACTAAATATGTTAAACCACTTAAAACCGGTTCCAAACTCCAGACCAAATCCTAATGTCGCGGCATGTGCTTAGCTTTATCAAACCTAGTAGAGTACACGTATACCTTTTATTAATAATTATAACCTTAAAAAAACATTCTCCCAAAAAATTTTAAAATTTTCAACATAATAGGTTCAATTATCTGCATTAGTATCAGACGTGATAATAATTGTTGTTGTTATTCTGTCACCAAAATATTTTGAGAGTTAGTCCAGAAGGAACATCAATTTTTTCCACAGTTCTGGAATGCTGTTTTTGATAAGAAAAAGTAGATTGCGCACTCTTTGCCTACCGCTACCAATCAATAGTTTAAAATTATGAAAAAATCCAAAAATCTCAGGTAGCTCGAAATTTGCTTACGTAACTACCCAATAAAAAAATCTCTTACAAATTTTTAATATAACTTATCTTCTATCTACTTTAATACTAAACATAATTATATGTTTCATTATTTAACAAGCATGTCGCATTTGATTGTTTTAACTTTATGGAACAAGTGGGTCATCTGTTAGGAATATTGCAGTGATTTACCTAGCAGATGACCCAAATAATATTTTAAAATGATTAACTATAGAAATCGTTTAAAGTTATTTATGTACATACTATCTTATCATCTATTGAAAATCCTGATAAACCAAAATTTAAATGTCTACAAATAATTCTAAATTTTACTGGTTTCTATTATTTTATCAAATATCGATTAACCTGTACACAGCACATAGGTGTGTTACGAAAATAAGAATTTACTCAGAAAGAAAAAAAGATTCTTTTTATTCCTGTTTACCAAAATAAGCAATGCGCTCATTCAATTTGTATAAATTGGAATTTAATACTTTATGCGATTATAAAAACCGTAATTTATTCAGTGTTTTACTACAGTGCGTATTCCAAGATTGTGTGTCATGGGACAGTTTTATACATGTATGTTTAATTAATAATGCACTCTTTAAACAACATTTTAAATATATTGTGGGTTGGGACGGAATTTGAATTTGTTTATTATACAAATTTGAGCATCAAAATTACAACAACCGATGACTTTGATAAATACACTTATTATATAAATAATAATAAATGACTTTTAAATCGTCTAATTTCTTTTAATATCGCGTAGAAACTTGTTTATTATAAAATGTGAGTAAATAATTAAATAGAATAATATTATAGAAATATATTACTATTTCGGACGGGAATAATAATATTTTTACTTAGCTGTCAATTTTAAATCAATCTTTGTTAACAATTTTCTTTCTAGACAAACACATTTTCGTATCATTAGATTAATCACACTTCTAAGGTCTGCATCGCTATTCAGAGCGCAAAGTGTGACGAATGAAATGGTAAAAGAAATGGTAAAAGAAATTATGTCTGAAAAAAAATCGTTAGCAAAGCTTCATATTAATATATATTAGTTTTATTAAATAAAAATATTATTATTCCTTTCAAGTAAGCGTATCTAATATACCGTATGGTATAGACAACCTAAAATTATAATAGTTTTGGGTAGATATGCTTTTTATATGGATTTTATTATTAAAAAAAAATAATAATAAAATAATCATGGTTTAGCAACTTCTGATCGAAGTATTAAACAATGATTTTTTTTTTGTTAATTAAAAACCATATAAAAGTATTTGCTGGTTCAAAAAAGTATTACGTATACACGTCATTCTGGTTACATCGACATCTGGATATACCAACGATATTTTTAAAATTTTAACCTATGCATTTAATATGAAAATGCCTATGGTTAAATCGACATCTGACGATATAAGTGGATCATGAAGAATAAGCATTGAGCATGTGATTTGGTGTTATACAACGTGAAATGCTTAACTTATCAAGATTATCAAGAACAAATTTTCCAGTACAGTGCAAAAAATCTAAAAACTACAATCACCTTATTGAGACAAAGTTTAAACAAGTACGTACGTAGCCTATTGAAATAAATACAGCACAGTATTTCCTTAATTATTAGCATCAATAAAGTAAGTATACAATACTTAATTGAAGTCGATAATTTAAGAAATATTTAATTTCAATGTGCTACTTGATTATGCACCGGTCAGAAACTTAAAAAATCACCATCTCTCCAGAGTTAATGTAACGTATAATTAAGTAGGCATAATTAAGCACATAGCACATTTAAAGTCAAATACGTATTTCTTAAATTATCGACTTCAATAAAGCATTTATGTACACGCTTTATTGATGCTAATAATTTAGGAAATACGTACAATATTTTATTTCAATATGCTACTTTTTTATACTTTGTCTCTATAAGGTGATTGTGGCTTTTGGATTTCTTGCACCATACGTAAGTAGTGCATACATAATTGCGTCATGCATTATATTATTCATTTTTGATCGTTTTTTGACTGTTTCTTGACCGTTCCTATTGCATTATATGAATGCTGTCAAGTCAAAACCTGTATGTGAAAAATTATGTTTAAACGTTGCTGATATTATACTTGTGTTCCAAAAATGGTCAGAGCACCGATCGTGCATAAATGCGTGCGCAGTATTTAAATTAAGCAATATCAATCTTTCGGAGGATAAAGTCCAGTACATATGTACCGAGTTGGTTAAAAGTCTCTAAACAGGTCCCTCTTTTACCATCTCCGCTAATATTTAATTTTATTATTTTTTATATGTACATATTGTATTACGTATATATGTACATATAAAAAATAATAAAATTAAATATTAGTGGAGATGGTAAAAGAGGGACCTGTTTAGGGACTTTTAACCAACCCGGTATACCTGTAATGCATTTATACAGATTAGTGTGTACTTTCTTAATGGGGATATACGCATTAACCTGACTTGTAAACTGAAGATGGACAAATAAATCATGAAATTTTGAAATTTCATGCTGCACATAAAGTATACAGGGTCATCAAAGCTTGTTATCGGCATATATCAAAATATCCTCCGTTACTCTTCTACTATGGTGGCAGTCTGTGTATTTAAATAGCGCGCAATCGCAACCTTTATAAAATTAATATTACGGAATTTGAAACGTGAAGCTGGAACAGTGCTTTCTTCTCGAAAACTAAGACTCTATAAAAATTTGTATCTACATAGTTGTTATCCCAAGCTTACATTTACAGTGTAAGTTTCATATATTACTTCTTCATTTTGAATTTAAGTGCATTTTCTTTCACCTTTTGTTTCTTAAACTATCAATAATTTAATTTTAGAATACAGTTTCGATCACAGTCACAGATCGAATAATAATACATCTAATTCAAATAGTAACTTTAATCTCTATTTAAGAAAGTTGTTTTAGCAACCACTATATTATTACTATAATAACCTTCCAAGTAAAAATGCTTCGGAGATTAAATTTACTGTGATGTTCATAGATGTCTGATTGTTACAGAGCGAAAACCTGTAACTAATAATTATTAAAGCAATTACAGGTTTTTACTTTGAAACATTCATTATCAACTTTATTTTTTTGAAAAGTATTTCAAATTATTCCAGTTTCTTCAATAGTTGAGATATTGTGGCTTAAGACTCCAGTAGGATTTTCAAATTACACTTGATCTTACTCCCTGATTGGTGGATTTATCATACTGTAAATTCTAATAATGAGGATTTTTTGTCAATTACTCTTAACAGTATAAACATAGAAAATTTAGAGCTATTTTATAAATTCTGGGACAGCTGGAAAATTTTCTGACGACCGAATCGATAAATCGCCGAGACGGTATTAATAAGTCACTAGCATAAATTCAATTCATTCATCGGCAAATTTTTTTCAAATGTTTCAGAATTTATGAAAACAACTATAAACGATAATAACTCTCAACTATTAACTCTATACAGATAAAATTGTATTTATTGAATTCTTCATCACGCTTTTAAAATAATGGAGCTATTTTCTTTATTTTTCTTAAAGCTAATCGGTTTAACTTCTAAGAAAAATAAAAAACAAATGGCTCTACTTATTCTTTAAAAAGAATTCAATAAATATAATTTTATATGCATAAATTTATATAAAAAAGCTTCCTTGTTTTTGTTCAATTTTGTCAACATTGTTCAAAGAGTGTTCTGAAAGGAATTGTTATAGATATACAAATAGGATAAAAATAATACATTCTTGATGTATAGTTTTTATTCCATTTCCAAACATTCTTTGAATAGTGCCAACAAAGCTGAATAAACCATACAAGCTTTTCGAGCTGGGAAGTTATCATTGCTTAATTTTCTGTATTTTATTAAGAATGATCGACAATCATTATTAGAGTTTACTATACTATTTCCCAACTAGCGGAAATTATTCACGCCCTATTGGAGTAGTTACATTATTATAGTGAGCCACATCTCAATGAATAATATATAATAATCAACATAATTAAAATACTTATTGAAAAGATCATTTGGCAGCGATCTTAATCATTGGCCGAATAATACCTTGCAAGATGTCTAATCCAAATATTTTTTTATGTTAATAGATGACAAAGAAATATTTCCAAAATGGCCTACATAATGAAATCATGATAATTATTTTTAAATGTGTTGAATATCCCATCAACTTGGCATTATGTTGTAAGCGATGGTCTTTGATATGTAAAGATTCTCAAGCAAAAGCAGAATGGATTATTTTCAAATATGGAAGAGCACACTGTCTTTTTCATGCTATAAGATTAGGTCCAACATTTATCTCTGTTGAAGTCGCCCATGCTATTATTTCTAAAGGTGGAATTCTTTCAAGATACTTTGCGCAGCGTCTTCTTATCCATTATGGAGAATATGATCGAAAACTTATCGAATTAAAGATCTCCCATCATATAGGGCAAAGTGACATAGAAAGGATACAAAATAATACTCCATGGGCTAGCAATCTACCAATAACTGTTTGTATATTTTTAATCTCAGAAGCATACAATATTTTTAAAGATAAATTATGCATAAAAGGAAATGATATAGAACTTTTCCATTTTCTCTCGGGAGGCCCTCATACTATTAATTATGCACCAGCTATTTTTAAAAAAAATTTAGATGAAATCAGGGATTTAATATTGAACATGAAATTTATACCATTTCCACCAAGAAAA